AAATTCTGTAGAAACAACGGCAGCAACAACAAATGAAGTGCCAACCACTTTTCCAATAAATCTTATAAAGAATCAAGCTTCCAAGTGAACAAAAACATTTTTATAAATGGTAAATATAATTTGATCCAGTGATAAATATGTATAGAATAACTAATGACTGAAAAGAAAAAAAGAGGAAAAGAATTCTAAGAAGCAACTAATATACAGAAGTGGAAAGTGCTACTCTTTGGGAATAAATCTTATTTTGTCATGAGAGTTTTTTTCTATAACAGGGAAAAGTAAATTATATTCAGTGCAGATCAAGGTGTTGTTACAGCCATCTAGAATGGCTGTCAATTAGAATCAGCAGAGAAAGGTAGCAGATTGTTTTGCCAGTTTAGTTAGAAAAGATATTCTGCAGCCAAAATATCAAGTCTAGGAGATGTTCAAAAGATCAAGAAATCGTTTTATTTTATTTTATTATTTTATTGATCATCCATCTTACCCAGTGGTGGGATTCAAATATGTGAACAACCAGTTCTCTGTGTGGATGCCGCTTCCGGAAGTCCATTCTGGGCCTGGGCAACAAAAAATTAGCTGCCGGTTCTGCCGAAGTGGTGCAAACCAGCTGAATCCCACCACTGATCTTACCACAGGGTAATCCTGGATGGCTTACATTCATAAAAATCTGTCTGTCTGTCTGTCTGTCTGTCTATCTACATTAAACATAAATAAGGTAAAACCAACCATTAAAATCTAAAATCATGTTGGGTATTTAGAACCAGTGAAACCAGGAAAAAAAAAATCTAAACTAAATCTTATTTATCTAAGGGTGTACTTCTTGCAGACTCCAAGTCTGAAGGAATGGTTGATGCACGTTCTATACAAAGTAATCCCTTATTCTACAGCGTCTTACACTTTTTTCTCTCAGGAACCCTTCTCACTTTTAAAAGTTATGGAGGACCCCCAAAGAGCTTTTGTTTGGGTTATATTTATTAATATTTTAATACTGTATTATTTTTCAACATAGGCTGGAAAATAATTTTGGTTTTGGGCACCCTTAGTAGGTCTTTTGAAACCCCTAGGGATTCTAGAACCACATTTTAAGAAACTGTTCTAAACAGTACCAGGAGGCAGTTATTATATGATGCATAGCTTCATGACTAGCACTAAATCATTACTTCTTTTAATTCATATTTACAGATGAAGCCATAATGCCCTAGTTTTAAATAACACAATAAAACATGAGTTACAAATAATTGCTAGATTAATATACCACACCAATCTAAAATTAAAAAAACCCTATATTTTGGCTTAGTAATATATGTGAATCAGCTCAATATTAAAGAGCAAAATCCCATTAACTATCTCAATTTGGCTATCTTATCTGGAGACTTTTTAAAAGGTATTTTTAAAATACTATCTGCAAATTGGAGTGCACTATTAAAGTGTATAGTACATTCTTTAACTCAGGTTCATTGGAACATTTGTTTCTTATTCAAGAACATTACATACATACATACATACATACATACAGTACATACATACATACACACACACACACATACATACATGCAAAAAAGCACTAATATTGTTACTAATATTGTACTGACATGTTAAATAATTTCCTAGAGAAACTGTAGTTGGCTAAGTATGGCAAGTAACAAATAATTTTACATATCCCATTATAAAATGTTTTTATGACAATAAAAAATATTAGGCTAATAGATAGCAAAGGCACTTAAGTATTTCTCAGTTAATGACCAGAATTCGGACTGGAAAGTGTGACATCACATGACAAATTCTGGCACTTCCACTTGTCATCATTAAGCAAATCATCATGGGACATTAAGTAAGGATATAATTTGGTTGGCATTTGCAACCTTCTCCTGATTTCCTCTTTGCTTTGCTTGTAGGAAGCCCACAAAGAACATCGCAAATGATGACCACATGACTGGGATGCTGTGACATCATAACTGTGAGTCAAGCAAAAGTGCTAGAACCAGTGTAGGAGATGACTAGGCTGAGCCCAAGAGCGGGGCCAAATACATTAATAGTAGTTGTTAAATGAAGATCAACTGTATTATTCATTGCTTCATCAGTGAATAAAAATAAAATATTTCCAAAAATTATGAAAGGAAGTTCTCTTCATCCATGTTGTGATTTGTAATGGATTGTGGGAATGACCTTGGGGAAAGGAAGGAAGAGGTGCTGTCTAGGAAACAATCAGAAAAGATTAGCAGGAGCCCACAGTGGTTTATAGGTCAGAAAAAGAAACTTAGAAAGGATTTTAAAATGGAACAAGCAGTTAAAAGTGGCAATGGAAAGTTTTGCATTTTCAGGCTTGCACGATTCTATTAATGTAGCTTTAAAATAAAATAAATTTAACTAATTTAGATGTGTTTTCTGTCTGGTTTATCCGGGAAGCCTCACAGATTAACAGTTTAACAAATCTGTATATGATAATAGAAATAACATGAAATAGGGACATTGTTAATGTTACTACTTCTTAAAACGATTGTTTTAGATTGCCAGTAATTTATTTATTAGACAGAATGATGAGATAACCTAGACAGCTAGTTACACAAAGACAAATAAAAGATGAGATACGTTGTTATGTATTGAAAAATATAAAATATGTAAATGCATAAAGGTAAGTGAAGTGTGATATAGCCTAATTGCTTAACTCAAATCCCAGTCCATGCATTCATTTAAGCTCTTTTTAATAGGAATAAGAATTATAATCAGCTTACTTTCAGGTTCACATCTAAATATACTTTCTATATGATTTCATATTTTATTTAGTTAATTAAAAAAGAACCTTTAATTGTAACATGTATTGATTTTTTTCTTTAAAAACATAGATAAATATCTATATATTTTAATACAGTATTTTAGCAAGTGAGAAAATCATGTTATTATTAATACATTCTTGGATGATTCTATATTTCGATTCTCTTACTCAGTCATTGCTAATTATGTCTTTTCACAATTAATTACTTCATTTCCTGCAGCATAGACATTTTATTCATTAAATGTCAAAATGAAAGCCCTGACCCCAAAAAAAGTAATCAGGGAATGAAAGGTAGATGTTAGATGCTTAAATTTTTCTTAAGTGCTCAATATTCTATAACATCTTAGAAAACTAAAGTACTACTCGACATACAGCATATGTCAATTCCTATGTTTATAAAACATTTTCTATGAAAGATAAGATCAAGAGCTGTCAAGTTATTCATACACAAAATCACAAAAGATCTGTATTGTAATATATTCTGAAAATATTGGATTAACTAAAACAGCAATAAAGCAGCTAAGAATTTTACATTCATTGTTCTATACCAGAATCCTTTTTCACTGTAACATTGTTATGTATAGACGTGTTTATTTCTGAGTTGAGATATAATTTATTATGTTTTTAAAATACTATTTACTTGCTCTAGGAGTCAGAACTAAACTTCCTATGAATTTCTTTTGAAAAGTCAGACAACTTTTAACTGAACTTACTAATCATTTCAGAGAGTAGCAAAAAAACTTCAGTTCACTACATCCTGTCTTGAGTGGCATATTTGTAATTTTCGCAGTCTTGTGATAGATTTATTTATATTTTATAAGATTATAATTTTCTGAAATAAAAGTGACATATCCAGAATATTTTAATATTTATTCCAATGAAATTTTGGAGAGTAAAATAGAATAAAATAAAGGAAGCAAAATTGTATTGCTGCCTTTGAATTGTGTGAATTCAACTTTTTTTTTCCACTGATAAAGGTTTTCTATAGTTGGGAATTAATTTATCATGAATGAAGAACAAACCTGTCAGGTTCTACTTTTATAAGTTTTTCCTTTTGCTACCATTCCCCCCCCCCCCCATTACATTTCTGAATGTATGTGTCTTTTTAAAATATACAATGTTTTTTATCTGTGGCTTACTTCTTCACAGACTGTGTGTGTACATAAATTGTGCATTATATAAGTAGTCTATTTTCAGTTTAGGGATAAACTGCAGATGAATGCAGAGATAAACTGCACTAATTTTATTGAAAAATGCCTATTTAAGTGCATAATGTTGTACATGTTCTGGTTCAACTAGCCATACGTATCATGGTGAGAGTGAAACATATTCATTCTAATTTGAATTTGAATGTAGTTTGAAACTAGCAGATCTTCCCAAATTCTTAGTGCTGTAAAGCACTGTGGAGTTTTATATAAATTGAAATGCTATTGCTATTTAAGTCAAATACTTTTTTTTTAGGAACACAAACCTTCTGCTTAGTCCATACACACTATCATGCTAATATTGCTAATGAAGTTGTAAACGATCCACCTGACAGGAAGTTCAACAATAACTTTATTTAAAGAACAGATAATCTACTCTGTTCAAGAGTTTGCCACATTGGATAAGTTTGAAGGTATGTAGTAACAAGCTCCATAATCTCTCCAATTTTAAAATTATTAAAATATAAGAAATAAATTAGTATTGGGAAAGTTTTGGTAGTTCAAATGATCACTTCTTTATTTATAAATTATATGAGATGACTACAATGAATGAAACTTTATTATTAAATGTAACTCATTAAAGACTGAACAGGCAGAAATGGGTAAATGTCTTAATTTTAATTTTGCATAGTTTCTCATTTCTTTAATTCTTTTCATATTGTTTGTATATCAATTTCCAATGTTAATACAGGGCCTAGAATTGTTATGCTTTATATTCACTTTGCAAACCTGATACTCTTTTTTTGTACAACAGTTTCAGTTAATTTTACTCACTGAATATTTTATTAACATATACAGCTTAGGTGAAGATATAGATCTGTGTACAAATTACTTGACTAGAGAACCTAATCAAACAGAGACCTGTTTTACTTCACATGTTAATTTTCAAACAGTAAATTAGGAAGGATTAGATTAAAATGCAATTTAGATTTATTTAACAGAAACTAAAATATTTTTCTAACTAGTATAAAAAAGACACATTCTAAGCTATGAAATAGCTGAAGAATTTATTTTAGGCCTACCCGTAAAATTTCTTCAACACAGTCATCATCACCGACCCCACTGTCCTGTAAACAAAGAGGAAATAGATATAAAGTTAGAATTAATGACCATCACATATGAATACATGCCTTATGCCAACATGTATGTAATGCTAGTGGATTCCTTACATCTGGAAATCATGGCATTGTTCTTATATGTGTTTTAAAATAGAACAGCATACTTATTATTCTGAGAAAATGAATATACAATTATTAAATATGCCTTTTTTCAAAAATTGTAAAAGAAGATTTTTTTTAAAAAGTATTTTATTAATTTTCTATCATTACAATTTGTTAGTGCTTAATGAAAAACGTGTTATGATTCAGCAGTTAGAAATAATGGACTTTGGACAGAATCTTACAAACATGATAAAAACAATATACAATAAACAAAAAGCGAAAGTGATTGTGAATGGAGACTATACTGAGAACTTTGAGGTAAGAAAAAGCACAAGGCAAGGATGCCCATTATCTCCATTGTTATTTATTTTTACTCTGGAAATTTTAAATAGAAATATTAGACAAGATATAGAAATTAAAGGGCTAGAATAAAAGGTGAAACATATACATTACAAGCATTTGCTGATGATTTGGTATTTATTTTAAAAGAACCTTTGGAGATGATTCCTAAACTATTGGAAAAGATAGAATAATAGGGAGAAATGGCAGAACTGAAAATAAACAGAGAAAAAACCAAAGTAATAGTTAAAAACCTTACAGATAAGCAAAAAAACAAATGTCAGAAAAAACAGAATTGCAGATAGTTAAAAAGGTCAAATATCTGGGAATACATTTAACAGCAAAATGTTCAACGATAAAAGAAAATAATTACACAAAACTATTGAATCAAATAAAACAGGATCTGGAAAAATGGAAAAACTTGCAATTGTTAATACTAGGAAAAATTGCTACAGTGAAAATGTACATACTACCAAAAATCTTATTCTTATTCAAACAATACCTATAAAACTTGAGAAAAAATTCTTTGAAGACTTAAATTCACTAATTTTGAAATTTATTTGGCAAGGAAAGCTAGAATTAAGATGAAAATGTTACAAGATGCCAAGGAAAATGGAGGACTTGGTCTACCGGAGTGGGTTTTATATTATCAAGCATCTGTATTAACATGGGTAAAAGAATGGATAACTCTTAGAAATAAAATTGGGGTGGCACGCTGTTTTATGGTATGGGAAAAATAAAATTCATAAATATTTCCAAAATCATTATATAAGAAATGCATTATTAACAACATAGGAAAAAAATAAAATGGAAAATATATTTGAAAATTCCAGGGTGGTTGTCAACAATGGAAGCATTTGTACACCCAAATTTAGTGAACTTTGAAAAAATCTGGACATATAGAGATATTCTAAACTCTGAAGGGAATTTAAAATCTAAACAAGAAATGGAAAATCAGGGTATCAATCTATCAGGGTGGGCACATTTACAAATGCAAGCTAGATATGATAAAGATGTTAAACTGTATGGATTTTACAAGGAACAAACATAAATTTTGCCATTTTTCTAATTCTATATTATATCCAAAAATTTTCACCCATCTTATCATTGTTTCTTTAACTTGTTCACTTTCCATTTTCAAAGTTAATAGAAAATTATATATTTTCTTAATTAGTTTCTCATCAGAAGTTAACAACTTGATAAGACATCTATAAAACATTTTATATAAGTTTTCTTTATACGAAGTAGCCATTGTCAATTTATAGTTTCTTTTCCAAAGATTTTGCCATTTCTCTAATTCTATGTTATATCCAAAATTTGTTGCCCATATTATGATTGTTTCTTTCACTTGTTCGTCTTCCATTTTTAAATTCAACAAAAAATATATAATTTTTAAATCATTTTTTCATCAGAAGTCAACAACACCTGATCAAACATTGCCTGATCTTTATAAAAAACATATATTTTAACATCTTTTTCATACCTCAGTTGCATTTGCAATCAGGGCCACCATGATCTTCTAGCTCTTGTTTAGATTTTAATTTCCCATTTATATTCAGAATATCCTTATATGTTAAAGTTTTTTTCAAATTTAACTAAATTTGGGTGAGCGAATGCTTCCATCGTTGATAGCCATCCTGGGATTTTCATATAAATTTTTGGTTTTATCTTTTCCCATACCGATAATAATGCATTTCTTATATAATGGCTTTGAAAATATCTCTAGGTTTTATTCTTCTCATACCATAAAATGTGTGCCACCCAAGTTATAAGTCATGTCCTTCTAAATATAGCAATCTTTTGTTTCTAAGGGTTATCCATTCTTTTAACCAAGTTAAAAGATTTTTTTTCTTTTTGATGGGGAGTTCAATCCATTTATATTCATTGAAAGAATTCTACTTTCTTTCTCCATCTTCTTTACTTATATTTAGGTTTTATTCTCCTAGCGGTCCTTTCCTGTCTCTGTTCTTTTATCACTTCCTCTCCTTCTTGATCTGTATTTTCTTTTTCATATTAATGGTGCAGAAGCTGGTTTTTTAGCAGTTTTAGTGAGGTTTTGGACACTCATTTTTATTCCTCCCCAGTTAGTCTATCATCAATCTGTTGTGCCCCCTAGAAGGCATCCTTATCTGCAAAAGAAAGCAAATCTCATATTAGTCTTATCCTGCTATTTTTCCAAGCACAATTTAGTGGTTTTCACAATTGTTCAACTTTACCCAAACAATGTATTTATATTAATTCTGGTTTATCATTCTGTATTCTCTGTTCCTGTCACTCTTAAGGTTTTCTTCCTGCCACTTTTGTTTGTCTGGTAGGGCGGGGGGGGGGGAAATCTCCTTCCTCCAGTCACACTTGGGGAATTCTTGCCTTTGGGGAATTTATCCGTTCCAGGGAATAGTGTTAAAAAGTAGTAGAGAGGAAGACCCAGTTCCAAGACACGATGTTACTAATCCACTCATTAGGGCTAATCTTCACCCTTCCCAACTGTCAGTAGCTCTTGGACAGATCGCATAAATGCAGTCTGTCTTTCTTCTGGTCAGTTTGGAGGGGTTTCCTCGGATCCAGCGGGCTGACTGCCGTCTGCCCATGATCGATGACAGTTCCCTCCTTTGTTGCCACCTCTCTGGGGTGACTTTCGGCCCTTTAGAGCCCCCTGGCAGAAAAAAATCAGCTGTGGGGCGAAGAGCTCCACTTTCCCCACATCTGTATCGCTATGACGTCAAGCCTTCCAAGACAAGGAAATTTTTTAAATGTTACCTTTTTTCATCAAGTATAACATCGGAAATATCATGATATGCTCTTTGCCAAACATCATTTAAATTAAAAGTGTCCTACCACAGGATGGCCATAATCCATTGGGGACTTCCTTGCAATAATAGTCATTGAAATTAAATGACTACTGTGTAATTTAGTGTCATAGATATTAAACAGGAGATGTTTAAAGTTAAATAACACTTACATGTACTGACACAGTCTGCCAAAACAGTATTGGAGATACTCAGAATCCTGCTTTTAAATGAAAGCAACAATTCAACTGCATATGAAACTAAAAACAGCATGAAGGATTTTTTAACTCATATGATTTGGTGTAATCCAACCATCTCCATTTTGGTTTTAATTTACAGTATGCATTAACACAATTTGGCAAGTGGGGAAAAGATCTAAATTAAATGTTGTTATATTCCTATTATCTGGAATTTGTCCTTTTATGAAGAGCTTTGGCTTTATCAAGCCTGGGGCTGAGCAAACAGGATTCATGAAGACTAAGCCAAACAGGTATGAGTAAGAGAACATAATAGGAATTACATCATAGTAATAAGCGGCAAAACATCATTATTTTTTTGCAGTTACTGCATCCAGAGATTCATTCAGTGACCTTTTTTAAAGTGACCTGTAATCTGCTGGGCAGGAATGAATCATACAACCATCTGCTTTGGAGTGCAATTTGAGGTGCTGGTTATTACCTAGAAAGCCCTGCACAGAGGTCGCCAACCTTTTGGGTACCAGGGACCAGTTCTGTGGAGAGAGGTTTTTCCACAGACCGGAGGGTGCGTGGTTTTGTGTGCTGCCTGTATCCCACAGATGGGGCTTTGCTTGTTTGTGCAGACCGGTTGTTGGCATGCCGCGGCCCAGTACTGGTCCATGGACCAGGGGTTGGGAACCCCTGATCTAAAGCACCATCTGTCTTCCATATTCTCTGCCTGGATAGAACAACTGTCCAGAATTGTATGCTCCAATTCCCTTCCATTAAGCAGGGATACCAGAGAGGAGGAAGTCAGATTTTCTGTCACAGCACCTATTTTTTGAAATACCATTCCCCTACTTTGTGCTTTTTCATATATGTACTTTGGAGTCATAACATATTTGCCCTTTTCCCAATTCTAAATGACTGGAAACCATGAAGAGCAGAATGTAGTATGTAGCTTCAGTACTTTCGTTGCCCCCAATTTTGTCCCTCCAAACCAGTAACACCTCCTTGATGCATTAAAAAATAAAGAAAATAAGATCTCTACTATCAAGCCTAATAAACAACCCAACATTCTCCTCTTAACAAGGCCTGTATGCAGTGTGGGATTCAAATATGTGAACAACCGATTCTCTGTGTGGATGTCGCTTCTGGAAGTCCATTCTGGGCCTTGGCAACAAAAAATTAGCTAACAGTTCTGCTGAACTGGTGCAAACTGGCTGAAACTCACTTATATTAGGATATTTTTAAATTCATGCAATATAATTAAAACTTATTACTCAGCTGTGCTGTAATAACACGTAGCATTATTATAGGGATAATAGTCACTAATATTTAGGAGAGAAAAATGTTAATAATTTATTATGGTAAAGTTGCCGTTATGTTTAATCCACACTGTTTTATATTAGAATATAACAGTTTTTTAAAATTTTATATTATTTATATATAGTTTATAAATTATATATATTTTATAAAAAATAAAATATATTTGTGAAATATTAGAAAATGTAACAAAATGCACTACTAAATTGTATTTTAAATTTATTATTAAATCTAGACTATATGAAAACATATTTTTCTATTTTTATAATAATAATGTATT